ATGCATGTGAAATTGAGTTAAATGCAACACCTCAAATATACTAACCGCAAATGTCTTAATCATATTAGTAACTCATCAAAATAGCTTTATGTTTATCTATTAAATTAACAAGATGAAGATATATGAATTGTTAAGCATATATTTATGTCTAGTAGTCTATGTTAACAAGTTTGAGAGTTATTAAGTTATTGAATTAGCCTATGTCTAGCAACCAAGACAACAACATGCATGAAGTATAGATTGATATAGCTCTATGTCTAGCAATTATACCAAGTGATGAGTTGCATAAAATCAGAATTTACAACAAGGATTTCTCCAATATTTTCGTTCACAAGTCATATCATAAAATGATCAAACTTAAAGTAAGTATTAAGCATATAACAACTCAAAAGAATCAAAGCATAACAAATCAGTATAAAACTAGATCAATGTGCATGCATCAAGCTCATATTACATTCAATCTAACAATAAGGAAATTAGCTACTCATGGTAAATAAATGCAAGTAATAGTAAGAGAAAATAAAACTCATTAGTGATAATTTATCACTCCAATGAGCATGGACTAGCTCATTTAGCACTCACATATTGCTTCTATACCTCTAACGGAACTAAACTCACCTAAAAACTAAGAATATTTTGTATTACAAGTGTATTGCTGAAGTGTTTATTACAAAGTCAAGTTAAACCTCTTTAATAGTGTCTGAATTCTAACTCTCATGCTCAATGCACCGTTTTGCGCTTAGCTCATCGCTTCGCATAGCCAGACTCTATCTTTACGTGTACCAACTTGCATTGGGCACACATATTGGCGCTAGGCATGCAATGGCTTCTTGGTATATCTGAGGCAATGACTAATTGTTGATTTTCATAATTAAATCTATTGGGCGGAGGATGATCTATTGGGTGGAGGATGACGGTGGGCATAGGTTCTCTCTGCTGCTCAACGTGGTATTCGTCCTTAGCGTATGTAGCAACATTATATGATTCACTAGGCTTGGTTGTTGGCCTCAGCCTGAGTGATCTTTGGATACTGAGTCTTTTTTGTTATCCCTTCAGTTTTAGTGTGCACAAATATTTCAAATGTGATATTTGGTCATTAACATGTTTTAAATACTTATGAACATATAACCAACAATTTGGATTAAGTAAAGAGTCAAAGTGCCACAAAATTGATAATAAAATTATGATACTTTTGGCACTTAACAAAAGGCTTGGGAAAATAAGTAACGTTTGATACACTTTGTTCTTCTCCTTTGTTGCACTATGTTATTCTCCTCCTCTATTTCAAGCTTTTCTTTTAATTTTTGTTTAATTAAGAATTAAAACTAAATTTAAACCATTAATGTTTAATTTGTTACTTTTCATAATCCTAACTCCAATATTGACTTCTTCATTACTGGAGAGGACTAGTTTTTTAGAGGTAAAATTAATCTTTAAATATCAAAATCCTAGGTACATTTTTAAATTCTTGGGTAATATTATATCATGTTTTAAATTTGTGGGTAATAACATTTTCAATTAACGGAGGTATATAAAATGAATACATTTAAAATGTTCAAAAAGAAAAATTCATTTTTTCTCATTAAATTGATTGTTTTTCACACTCCCACCCTCACTTTTCTTAAAACTTGTGAAATAAAACTTGTGAAATGAGATGTTATTAAGAAATTATAAGCCTTCAACATTGGTTAATGTTCACAATCCTTATTATTAAGAAATAAAATACATCAATCTAAACAATGATATTTTTATATATTTTCAAATAAAATAATTAGTATTGGCAATTTGTTATTATGAAATCAACAATTAAATGCTTTAAAATCATAAAAAATATACACTTTTAATTTTAAACTTATATTTTAAATAATAATGTTTTCTATTATTTATTCTGCAAAATTTAATATTATATGATTATAAATAAATTTTAATTTATATAAAAAATATATATGCAATATATGTTTGAATTTTGCACAATATAGCAAAAATATAGTGTCAGTGGAAGGAGCTAGCCTTGAGTATGGTTGTTGTGTGGGTAAGTGGGTTTGAATCCTACTCTTTAGAATCCAATTTTAACATATTAAAAACGATAATGCCACACAAATAGTAAAGATTAAAAGTAAGTCATTCAAACTAAGAGGAAGAAGTAGATTATATATGATATATACCAAAAAGATATTAGGCAAATTATTATTACATGTAAACACAAGAACAAAACAATATACATTTAACACCAAATACTTATACTAGCCTATAGTACTATATGACACAAGAAATAACAAGATACATTTACACTAAACATTCATTACTAATCTACAATCCTTTACCATAAGAGCAAATAGAACTCAAAAAGTAAAGTAAGGTACTCCAATATTTGACTTTGCAACCTTATTCGAATATGATATTTTTTTACCAAAAGAATAATTGAATTGTCCAATGGTGATCATAGGTAAGAAACCCTAATAAAACTAATTTATAATAATGACTTCATTTTTTATTTTAATATGTAATTCCATTGTACTTTTCTATTTTGCAACGCATCTCTTAGACTTTGCATATTGTTTTAAATCGCTGATCACATTACGTGATGCAATCGCAATATTGTAGTTGTACTGTGGTGACCGTCATAACCGCATCATATCGCAATTGCGGTGTCACACCAAAACACAATGATGTGACTGCAACGGATCACAACGCAACCATATCGTACCACATTGGGTCACATCAGGCCGCAATGCAACCGCATGAAACTACATAAATATCAAAAATATTATTTTACCCACAAATTAATTCATACCCCAACGACTACAATCTGCATCGTAACGGCCATAATAAGCACGATCATAGTAATCATAAGCCATGGTAACCATAATTTAAAATAATGATTTTAGACATTAGTATAATAAAATTGGAACCACACTAATTTGGTTAAATCTTAAAACCAGAGAATAAAAGTAAATTTATACGTAAATTTTATAGTCACAAGAAGTACCTGGTTCATGATTTTCTCCGCTAGACTCATAAGTGATCTCCTCAAACCCTATATATATAGGCACAAATGTTCATCCTTTTCTATGTACAAACCAGAGAAAGGAAACATCAGTGTAGTGTCAATAATAGGTTGAGAATTGTAGCAGTGTAAAAAATGTAGAGTCAAATAGAGAACAGTGCATAACAGTAGAATGAAGTGATTGGTGCAAAAGGAGGATAGACATGAGAGAGAAACTTAAAGGGGTAATGGGAACCCACCACACCTCACCACAAATCTCTTTCCTTTTCTCTTTCTTAAAGTACAAAGGGTCCTCATGTTTGTGTGATAAGGGTCTCTTTCAAGTTTCAAGAAGGTAAAATAGTGAGTTCTTCAATTATCTAGAAGAAGAAGAAACTAGAAAGAAAATTACCCTATATGGTTCTGATTTTCTATATATGGATTCTCCCTAATACAAAGAAAACGATGATATTTACTTACCTTTGTTTCGATATAAATGTGTTTTTGGAAATAGTGCTTTGCCAGATTTGTGTGGATATTAGATCTTCAATCGCTTTCCCTTCTTCTCTGACTCTCATGAATCTTTCTTTCTTTCACTGCTTTAATACAGTTTCAATTCTCTCCGTGATTTCTGCTTCTGGCCCTTAATACTATTCCTTTCATCATTATTTTTCTTAATTTTTTTACTTATTTTTTTATTTTACTTAATAGATCATACTCCATCTATCGTATAAATACAGTAAAAATTTATACTAAAAACTGTATTTTATAGGAAGGAGGTAGTATAAGTATGTTGGTATTCTAACTCATATTCTCCTTACTCTTATAGCTTATACGTGCTTCAGATATGGTGCTTTGGTTAAAGCTTAGAATGGTAAAGCAGTAAGTTCAAGATGTATTTATTTTGATTTGATTTACATTCTTGTTGATTAATTATTACATTGTATTTGATAACAAGTTGACCCTTTGATTTTTGTGCTCATCAATATTATATTAAGCTTATCAATATCACATATTGCACCTGTGATTTGATCTGAGAAAGCATGATTTTTTATTTTTTATTTTTTATTTTAGAATGTTTTGGCATAATCATGTTCCTTTTATGCAGTGTATTGATGTATTTTCAACTGTTGTGCATGATTTTCAAAGGGTTAGAAAGAAAAGAATACTATTATAGTTTAATGAAGGAAAATGTTTCTGAGAATCTCTTGTTTATTTCCTCCAATGGTGTAGGTAGCTTTAAGGAGTTAGGGTTAGGTTTCTTATAAGTATTTGATCTTCCATAATTTTAGAAGCAATGTACAATCAAGTTGTTAAATAATGTTTTTTTTGGGTATTTTAATTATCTTATTTTGTTTTTGAAATAACTTATAAACCAGAATTTTTCAAGAGAGATTTATTAAAAAATAATGTGATTTTTTCATTCAAAAAGATCTAATCCAAAAATTGCCATGAATTCACAGTTTGGCATCTCAAGATTACTGCAAATGTGTAATTTTTTTATTTACCAATCATTATGAAATTGGAAGGATTATAGATATTTTCACAAGCTGGTAGCTTCAGGGTTCATCAGTGGTAATATGAATTGAAGGTCTTTTAGTACTCTAATACCATCTTTAACATGAATTACTGTAAATTACTGCATATAGTGCCTTCTTGTCCTGGTGTTCTAATTGTTATTCCCTTAGTACTCTTATTAATTGAATTCTGTAAATTTATTTCCATAATTTTTTCTTCCCTTGATTAGATTAATTGATTGAGAAATTCATGGATTATATATATTTAGTTATAATAGATTCCAAACACACTATCCTCTATGTTTTCAAATGTAAAATTGTTTGTTTGTATTTTGCACAATCATATTCCCCATTGTCTCATTCATTTGATATAATCTTGTGTTATTTCATATATGATGAAATATTATGACATTCTTGCCATTGAATCTCATTTCAAATGTAAAGAGTTATATATAGGTTTTGTGACTTTGGATTAATGTTGAAGATATATGTTTCGAAGATTAGTGTAAGAGAGCTTCCTTCAGTCCACTCATGGATGAGTAAAGGGTTCGAATTAGCTGCCGACTCATTCATTCAAACACGATAGATATACGACGCTATTGTGAATGTGTGAATGATGCGGGAGATAAATTTCTTCCTTTTTTTGTCTTTGCTTGGACTGAAGGGAGCTCCCTTTTACTCAATTCTTCCCTTCAAAAACCCTATAATTTTTGGAATGAAAATTGTGTTTAATATCATTTTCTGTCCAGAAATTTATGAATTTGTTTAGAGCTTTTGTATTTTTAGCTAATTTATTTTTTCCCTGGCCTCAGAATAATGATTTTTTTTCCTTGTTTTGAATTGGTGATTTGAGTTGGATTCCCAAAATTTATGGCTTGAGGTTATCTAAAGTTTTTACCATTACAATTATTTTGGTGGTCCTATATATAAATTCATGAATCTACCGGGATATAGATCACTCGTCTCAAACAGTGTCACAATCCATGTCCCGAGTCATAAGAATATTTCGTTTTGTTTTAAAAAAAATTATTTTATTAATATGATAATATGTCATTGGTCCGGGACAGAAAATGTGACACCATTCGGGATAGGTGATCCCCATCCGGATCTACCATAAGGTTTTGTTTTTGGTAATTACTTCAGTATATAAATATAAATACAAGTTGCTAGCACATAATTGTACCTGCTATTTTCACTACGTGCTGTTTGAAATATTCCCTTCCTTATTCTCTTATAAAATTATTATATTAGATTACTTTAGAGGAGTGATCTTATTTGTATTTAGGCAAAGTCCTACTATAATGTCTCCATCCAAAACTGGAATTCCTGATTCTTCAGGTAAATTGTGTTGAGACCCACTTCTACTGTGACAAACCAGTAATGCATTATTTATTTATATATATTTTTTATGAATTATGCTCGACTTGAACAGTTTTGTCATTTTATTATAAATTTATAATGTTTATCCTTCCATTTTACTTTGTTTCTCTGTTAACAGTTAGGTGCACAGAGAAATGTGCATAAAACCCTATCTATGAGTGTGTGTCCTGAAAATTTAGTTCTATGTAATGTGTTTGAAATTTTGATTTATTAGTCACAATTTTTTAGTAAATTTATATGGTTTTCTTATATTATTCTTAAGTCGATATATTCTTACTATTTATTAGTAAATAAAAAACATAGTCCATTTTTTTTAGAAAATAAGGGGTTGTGGAATTATTCTCATCATGTTTAATTTTCTTCTCTCCAACACACCCAATTGGATCAATGGCATGTGTATAAATGTTAGTCTTATATAATGTGTGGTAATATGATTGATTCTTCTTTCAAGAATTTGTTTTATGTAATGCAATATAATGAATGGTTAAGATTTTTTATCAACAAAAGTTTAACTACTTAGATTTTGATATTTGGTATAGCTCAAATCTTTTTGAGCACATATAGTAATATTTATAGTTTATCCATTGTTAAAAATTGAATTTATGACATTGTAACCTTATCAAGTGAATGTTAATTAACATTATTGTAAATAGTAAAATGGATCAATTAGTGGCACATTTTCTTAATTATGATCACATCATCAAGTTCCACCATATGTTATATTTTTTTAAAGTGTGGGGAATTGTTAAGTAAAATTGTTCTACAGAAAAAAAAAATGGAAGGAGATTCATTTACTGAAGAGTAAGTAAAATTTACTTCACATCTTATTCATCAATTCTAGAGAAATTCAATGATTTAGATCTACTCACTAATTCAAACTATTGGCTTTACTAAGATACATATTCAATTTTTTAAACTCCATTTTGAAGTAAATGGATCCCCTCCCGTACATGCATGTGCATCTCATATTAGCAAATGGCAAATTATCCTTCTTATTAGATAATTCTTTTAATAATATTGTTTATTTAATTTTGCAATAGAGAGGTACTATTTCTTCCTAGTTTAATATCTACTAGTGGTAATGAAATCATATGATATAAGAATACACACAAAGTGTATATGGAGTGAGTTAATGGCTATATAGCTGGCTCTGTACACTTAGTCAGAAAGTGCCTCAGAATTATTTTTGTTGCAGTGAGTGTAGTGTATTGTGTGGGTCACTTTATTCCAAAACATAAACAAAAGTAACACTTTCATCAAGTTGAAGGAACTCAATGGCCATGCTTGTTGGTGATTGAAACACATCTTGGACACTTTGATTTTGACTTGTCAATATTTTTCAGATTTTCAGGTACGTGTTTCAAGCAACCTTGGTGTCTTTGTGCAATAAATAGTAACAAAGTATTTCTATTATTCTTCAACTTACTAATAGTAAGAGATTTTTCTAATTTAAGTAGAGTTTAATATTTACCCATTTTTAGTATATAATTTTTTACATAGACGGTATATGTATCACTTATCATCAATAAAAAAAGTATATCGCCTTGTTTATTGATGAGGGATCCATTGACTCAAAGAGTAAAAAATTTAAACTTACTCTAGATCTTAGCCATCAATTCTATGGAAGTTCAATGGTTTGAATTAGTGGATTAATCTAAATCATTCTATAAATAAAGAACTAATATCTTTCGATGTGTATGATTGTTTCTCTCATTAAGTATCGTTTATTACAAAAATTGAATCTTTTATATTTTAGCCTATATTAGATTTAATAAAGTATTATATCACTAAACCAATATTTAATTCATTAGTTCATATATGCTTATATACTAACAAATGTTAAATATATAATAAAATAATAATAATTAATATATAAATTACTATAAACAGGAAATAATAAATTTGTAGTACCACAAAATTGAAGTATGTAAATAATGAATACATTTGTGATTGTTTTTATAGTTTTGCAGAACCTATTAAAATATTAGACGTGCAATTGGAGTCAGAAATCCTGCATTCTTGTCTATCACAATACCGGAGCCTGAGCTAGAGGTTGGAACTTGAATCTATAATAACGTTGTAATTTGTTGACATTAAAATCTGGAGATTGGAACTTGAATCTACATACTTTTTTTCTCTCTTCAATCTTATTTTACCCAAAATTCATTTAAATATAGGTTATACCTCCAAGTATATGGCAATGTCAAAAGCTCAGGTTCAAATACCCTATTGCTAAAGTAATAAAGTGTGGAGATTGGTCTTTAAAAAATCAATTCAATTATATTACAAATTTAATGACCAATTCTGATACTTTTGATATTTGAGTTATATTTGCATTGGAAATTTAGGAATAAAAATCAACTGTTACAAAAATGGTGTTCAAATACATCCTGAACTATTAAAAAATTGTCATGTAATTAATATGGAAATTAAAAAAATAGAAAATATTTTTTTTACATTATTTGGTACAACATGTCATCCTTATTCTAAATTTAGGAGTTGGTCATATGAAATATCCTTATACATTTGATATTTGCATTCTGATACTTTTGAGCAACAATGTTTAGGATAATAAAAATGTAAAAAACTGACTTTATAATCTAAATGTTACCCCAAACAATGTAATTTTAAGTTATTTGTTTGAAAATTCAAGCAACAAAAATGTGATTTCCAAGCTCTACATATCACATGTCTCGCACGGTATTTTATATTTTGTCTCGGACCAATTGAAATGTTAATTTTTATTTTTAACTTTTTTCTTTTATTCATATAGCAGTATTCTGATTAGTCTAAGACATAGAGTGAGATACCGTGTAAAACATGTGATTTGTGTCCATAAGCGGGTTGCAATATTAGTATATGATTATTTGTGCATTGGAATTTGGCAATGAGGTGTCTTAAGCTTTTAAAAATATATGGCTAATGTCATAGATTCCATTTTAAGATCATCCTATATCGTTTAGGGTACTATTTTTTGACATAAAGTCCTTCTCTTTCATTGAGGCAATACTATTTCCTAGTTCCTATAGAGTAAATGTTATTTAAATACCTTTGCATGTGTGTAACTGAACAAACTATAAAACTAATCTAGTTCCCTGTGTTGTTCGAGATGCAAGTACATTTGAACTGAACCTTTCAATGTTTTGTATCTATTATTTAATTATCTAATGTAGATATTTTTAAGAAATTTTGGGGTTTTCATGCATAAAGTTATCTATATGTGTGAGTAGAATTTGTCCCTTTATTTTAGGGCATCTATTTGTTAAATCTATATTATTTTAATTTCGTTGTTTAGGGTTTGATCTTTGGTGTTATACAAATGTAGGAACTAGGAACACTACTTTTTGTTTTTTTTTTTGTGTTTGTAAAAGAAAGTGTGATTAATATGTTGTTTTTCATAAAATAAAATATATTGTCATTTTTTAATTGTTAAATTTTAAAAAAATAATACATATTACATTTTATATTGTCATTACAAAATGGTAGCAGATGCCCTTAAAGAAGTTTAAGTTTTTCCCATTGTTTTTATTTTAATTCCGCTGCATGACACAAGTTGAAAACCCATTTGCAAATTGCTTTCTTTGATTAAGTTTTACTTATAGATAAATTTAATTTTGTTGTATAAGCAATAATGGATATATACTTTTGTAGAAAGAGAAACTTATGCTAGAGTACCATTTACATGTGTATATGTTACTGTTTTTTTAACGTCATTGCATTACACATCAATTAAATTTTAATTTTTCTGTGAATGATACTTGTTCGGATGGATAATCCGTATCTCAAAAAAAGTTAGTTCTTTATCTATAAGGTAAATAATATTTGTAGTACCAAAAAATTAAGATTTAATGGCCTAATAAGGAAAGGTCCATAACACATGATTGCAATTTACTCCCACGTCTCATTTTGTGTGTGTATTATATTGTTTATAGGGTTTTCTAATGTGTAGAATAACAAATTTTTAGAAACATGTCAACAACTAGCAAGGTATGTTGTAGCATTAGATTTTATTTGTAAAAGATAATCCTATATATACTCATGTCTTAAACTATCATGTATGGTTCATAAATGAGATTGGCCAAATAACAATAATAATTAAACCAGATTAATTTTATGGACAGAATTACGTGATAATGCTGTATCATAAACTATATTTATTAGTAAATGATGATTTTAAATCTTTATTGATAATTTTGCTTATATTTTTTCTTGTTATCTCTTTTCCTCTTGGAATTGGACTAACCTATATTTGATCTACTCTCATTATAGGCGTTTCTAACATTTTTTTCCACACCCGTCCAAA